TATACACAGTTAAAGATAAATGTGATTCTTCTTATCTTATTTTCTTACATTCATTTATCTGTTTATTGCCTAAAATTCTTGACGTGATCCGTCTATACATATGATTATGCATATATTCTCTTTCTTTCCTTCTATTTCTTTATCAATAAACTATTTATATATGTATGAAGACAGAGATATATATATATACAGGAAAAGGAATAAAGAAAGAGAAAGAGAAAGCAGAAGGAAAATAGAATATATAACTATATATATACACGTCATGCATAACAATTCTAATATTTAAATTAAAATTATCAGTATGATGAACACTCGATCAAGATCTCGTTTACTTCGAAATGAAAAAGCAGCTAAATCTGAAGAAATAGTGAAATCATCTTCTTCAACAGAAAAAAAGAGTAAACGAAAACGAAAAAGAAATGATGAAATTAATGATAACAATGAACATGCATTAACAAATTTTAGCACAACGGCTACTTCTTCTTTTAAATCGCTAGCAATCGATCCTATTGTTATTAAATCAGTGCCTGTTTCATATACATCAACAACATCACATGTTCATACAATAGAAATAGAAGACGATCAATGTAAAAATGAAGGTTTACAACCACCATCATCTCCACTACTTAATCTTTCAGGAGTTCTTTCATTAGAAGCCATTGATAATGCACCTGATGATCATAGTGATGATGATGATAATAAATATATTGGAACATTATACTTTATAAATAATCCAAGTGATTCTGAAGATGATAATTTCGATCATAATCTTCATTTACAGCAGCAAATTTTAATCGATACTTTAAATCTTGAAGAAAATGAGCAAGTGATACAACCAGATAACACATATCCTGATGCAGCTGTATTACCATCGATATTAAACACAAACATCGAATTCATGACCAATTGAAAAGGATAAATTACAATGGATAAAGACAAGAAAAAAACAGGACTGTTTAGTTATGGGCAGTTTCAGTTATATTTATATGTTCAAATCAGAAGGAAAAAATATATTGAACTTTAGATGTCAACGACGTGATACAAAGTGTGGTGCAGTTGTACATTTAACTTTGGATACACATTCATTCAGTGATACTAATGATGTTAATCACAACCATCCTCCAGATAAATTTAATATGAAACAAAAGATATTGAATCAAATAATTGATGATAGACTTGCTGCTGAACCAACTGCTATTCTGCGAGTAATTGAACGTGTATATGCAGAAGCAAATCTGACTGATGAAGAATAATTGAATATACGTCTTCCTCGAACGGCAGGTAAAATTTGAACAGTTAAGAATATTATGACCAGCTATATGATTTTTAATTTGATTTTAGCTAGTGCCTTTTATAAGAAAAGGTCGCGTCGTTATCCAGGACATCCAAGAACACAAGACTTCGAAATCCCCGAGTTTTATGGTACAAACAATCGTGGAGAAAATTTCGTGGTGTATGATGGAAATAAAAAAAGATTCAATGAACGATTGATAATATTCAGTACAACAAAGTTATTATCTGCTCTCTTTAATTCTGATATCGTACTTTGTGATGGCACGTTTAAAACCAGGCCGTTATTATTTCAACAAGTTTACGTGTTGATGGGGAAATATCATGGTGAAGGTAAGCATTAGTCAACGCTTCGATCTCGATCATGTTAAACTTCTTAAACATTTGTTTGACCTTTTTGCCTTTGTCTATTATTTAGTAATTCCTCTTGTGTGGTGTTTAACCTCATCTAAATCACAACCTGTGTATGATATTATATGAAAAAAATTAAAAAAAGTTGCTGAACATATGCAGATGGAATGGAAAATAAAAGAGTGTATGATGGATTTTGAACGTGCAATGATCAATTCGACTCAAGAAGCAGTAACTATGATTAAGATGTTTAATATCTGGAAGTTTATTTTATCTTTCATATTTAGTTTCCAAATATTGATGTGAAATGTTGTTGGTACCATTTTGTTCAAGCGTTATGGCGTAAAATCCAGAAAATTGGACTTACATCTTCATATGAAACAGATCCATTAGTTAATACGTGGCTAAAACAATTTATGGCATTGCCACTGATTTTAAAAGGATTAATAAATGATAGTTTACAAATATTAAAAGATACAGTTCCTTCAAATGATACTAAATATATTAAATTCTTGAAATATTTTGAGAAAGAATATATTAATCGTACATCTGTGGAATTGTGGCATCATGGAAATAATGACATGAAAACAAATAATTCTCTTGAAGGTAAACGAATTGATTACATTTCCGTACATTTTTCATTCAATTTTTAGGTTATAACTTTCGATTGTTAACACGGTTTGGATTACATCCTTCTATTTGGGAATTTTTACATTTTCCTAAAGACGAAGAAGCACTAGTATCGCACAGAATTACACAATTGGGTGGAGGAAGTGGAGTTACCTCAAACATATTAATTTATCCAATTATGCAATCTAGAAGAAGGGCAGACAAAAATAAAAACATTTATTAAATTTGGAACATTTATTTACTTCAGAATCTATTGATTTAAAAGAATATTTGAAATCTGCTTCATTCATGGTTGGTAAAATTAGAGGACAAAATATAACGGCAATTAATGCTGATCAAACAGTTCAAGATGGATATTTACTCGATGATAAGGATGAAGATGATTAATAAAAATCATTAATAATTAAAAATGAACTTATTTAAATTTTCTCATGCTACTATCGCAGCTTTTTTTCAAATAAAAACAACCAGAAGCATTAGCTAAAAAATACAATTAATTACTACAATTGGTGAAAAGGTATTGCAGATATATTTTATTTATTGGCGAATGTCATATCAGTACTTCGCCAATTGGCAAAATTCCTCAGGAAGTTCGCCATTGGCAAATACACCATTGGCGAAAATGAGTATTGGCGATAAGACACTAGGTCTCCCCATCACGCATGCCAAATCATATGCGAAGAAATTTGGTTGCGTATTTCCAAGGAAGATCCACATATCGCAATGGTACGTTATGAAAATAGCTAGTGTCAGGCAAGATCCCTAAGGTCCTCCTTTCAATATTTGGAAGGGCCTTGATCGTTTGTTGTTCATCTTGACAAAACTCTTGTCTATTCTTTAGCCAACCTTCTTGAGGGTGACTGTGGGTGTGGGTTTCTATCCTCATCTATCTTTGATTCTACACCAAT